TTTGGCTCTAACTCCAACCTACACATACCAATTACATTCCGTCTGTTGTCATAGGTCCTATTCATCATAGGGAAGGTGCCCGTGATATCCTTATAGTGGTTCGGGGGCTGTTTCTCATTTTTGCCCCCTTATCACCCTTTTTCGGGTAAGTTTAAGGCATTCTAATTGAGGTGTTTTGCCACAAGTCCTGTGTGCTTTTTTTTTTTTTTTTTTTTTAAGGACGCTCACTACCCATCTCTTCACCAACCTCATCATTGACCTAAGACTATCACACTCCCATAAATTTACTTAATTCTACATCTAGAATCTGACTTGAGACTGGTTCGCCCCGGAAAGCCCTTTTTGACTTTTTGACTAAGTTTAGGACGTATTTGGCTCTAACTCCCAACCTACGGGTCCGAATTACATTCCGTCAGTTGTCAGAAGTCTTATTTTTCATGAGGAAGCTATCCGTGAGAGCCACACGGTAGTTTGGGGGCTGTTTTGAATTTTCGCCCCCTGAAAGCCCTTTTTTGACTAAGTTTAGGGCGTATTCGACTCTAACTCCCAACCTATAGGTCCGAATTACATTTCGTCAGTTGTCACAAGTCCTATTGTCATGGGGAAGTTGTCCGTAAGAGCCATATGGTGGTTTGGGGGCTGTTTTGAATTTTCTCTCCCGAAAGCCCTATTTCGACTAAGTTTAGGTCGTATTCGGCTATAACTATGGTAAAGCCATAAACATTTCTAGTGCGCTGATTGAGTGCCAAATGAGAAGTTAATGCATGTGAAATCTGATTCAGAATTTCTGAAAGAAAATTTTCATTCTCCAAGTTAAGGGAGCTCCTAGTTGGTAGTGAAAGTTATAAAAGAAGAGCACCACATAAACAGAGAGCTAAATGATTTTTGATCAGAAAGTTGGCTAACATAAAGTAAAAAGTGATTTTAGTTCAAATAAGAATCTTAAAGGAATTATAAAAGTAACCAAAATTGACCCAAAAACGCTAAAGAAAGTTGTCAAAGTAAATAGATAAGTTTGAGTAAAAATGAACACATGCATGTGCGCACAAATTCTTTTGACCTTTTATTTATCTAAGGTTCATATGTTGCTTAAAATTTACAACAATTTTCTGCGTATGATGGTTCAGCAATACCCCATATTTTTAGATTTATTATTATTATTAATTTTTTTTTAAAAAGGTCTAAAATCATATGAAATTATAGTAAATAATGACGAAGCTGTTCTTCTTTGATTAATGTTGTATGTCAAAAGTGATCCTTAATAGAAACCTGTTAGAAATTCCACCAGAAATTTGTAAATAAAGTACACTGCAACAGAAAAATTCACTTGAAACAGAAACTCATGCATGGAAAATAGAAGACAGGCCCCAATATGGAATCTACAAGGGCTTTTCATATGAACTATATCAAGAAACATTTAATTGAAGCTCAAGATTATTTTTTCTTTCTTGCACTAACGCCGACAAATATAAATTTCAGTCGCCAAAAAATGTACTTTTCGCCACTAAAATTTGTTTAGTCACCAAAAATGATCGCCAAAGGTGCGATTTGTTATAGTGAATTGACACATTTATATGTTTCCTTTTCCTAATCAGAAATTGACAGATTGTAGTTTACTTAACAAGTGATTTGAGCTAATGGAGGTGAGAAATCAGATAGCTAATTTGTTCAAGATAAATAGCTAAACAAGTATCAAATGATAGTCAAGTAAGCAGATCAACAGAGAAACACACTCCATAACCCAATAAGACTATCACTTTAACAGGGTTATGCTATTCACAAATCCTTGAGCTCTTCAACTTTGGGGATTATAGCAGAAACATTGTTCCATGATCCCTATTTCCAACTTTGGGGCTATTTTAATAAGTTACCTTCTTCTTTTTTTATATCTATAATAATCTATTCTATTATTTAAAATCTTAGGAAGTTTGTAGTATAATATTGATTTGGAAACCCAAGAAGTACCCTTTCTCTATTTAATCTCCTCTTTTCTCTATTATTCTTCGTTTCCTCATCTTTCTCTACTATTCTATTTTTATGTTCTCTGTAACTCTCCTCTTTCTCAACTTCATCGTCTGTGGGAATCCTGTGTATTCTATCCACAACAGTTTGCATTATCTTTGACTCATAACAGACTACAGCAGCTACTCTAAAGCCTATGGCCTAGCTATGCTTTGCTATATAATTTCCCACTCTAAACTATTTTGCACTAATCTTTAGGCTAGAGTTTGAATTGTTTTTTTATTTTTTTCATTAGATTTCTGTGGGGACATATTTTCTGAATACCAACACGTGGCATGGTGACGCCGACGTGTCAGCCGAGGTGCCACGTGCCCTGGTAGTTAAGCCGAGGTAATCTCGGAGAAGCCGAGGTCATCTCCGAAGATGTCGGAATCCGAAGATAAGGGACAAGAGTCCTGAAGCAAAGAGGGGACTTAATTAAGATAAGGATAAACCTCTTAGGGAGTTTATCTCTATCTCCTAAAGAGTCCAGAGTAAGTACTAAGATTGGGGTACATAGAAGTCATATTTGTAGTTGGACTTGGATTAAGTATATTATAAAAGAGAGGCACCCCCGTGGGTCTAAGGTAGGTAATTCAGACTTTGAGTATTCAGTTTAATACTTGATTATCCTTGAGAAACATACTGACTTGATCGTCGGAGTGCCCCCGGGTGGAAGAACCACCGCCGGAGCTTTTCTTTTCTGTTACAGATTGCTGGAGCCATCTATTCTACCGGTGCTTTGCTGCTGATCACTAAACGGGCAGTGTGGTCAGATTTTTACCCACACAATTTCTATCTGTTTGGCAATTGAATGATGCATAACTAAAGGCAAAGTATGATGCTATTTACATATATTTCCACTATCAAACAACTCTGTTGGTAACATAAGGCTGAATTAATTTGTAGGGCCATTGCCTACCATTTAGATCAGCTTATCCTCTCAAACTAATCATTTAATCTACAATCTTCTTTTATGTCCATGTAGCAAACTAATGACTTAAGCCATTCTTCCATACCTCCATGAACGGAATAAAATTTTGATTTGCCAAGTTTGGCTGGTTGCATAAAGAGCAAAGCAAGTTCACCTATTGGGTGCTGAGTTGTGATATTTCACCGATCTTTTGCCAATTCACACTGACCTCATGAATATTCTCACTTTTACACATGCAAAATACGTAATAACCTATGCTTAACCCAATTTCAAAGAAAAAATAACCAAGTTATAATCCACACAAAAAGATCCAAACCATGAGGCAACAAAATTACCTGAAATTGATTGACGATTTAATCCAGTTTGAATTCCTGATAACAAAATCGTGATACTTTCCATCACAAAAGATATAGAACAAAGAAAGATGGATATAGGGGAAAGAAATTCAAAACACATAGTTTCAAAGATATGATAGCCAACTTGCTCCCGAAGAGCCTCTTTGAGATAAGACACAAGATTTGTTCTTGATGATTCAACTGCCGTTAGCTATTCAATACAATGTCTCAATATACCATGCTGCCCTTTAAGCTACTCCACAATGCCAGAGCCATTGAGTTTTCCTGCTCAAATAAACATAATAATAATAATAATAAAGACGGTTAAGAGAGAGAGATGCTACAGGATATAGCAACCAATGTATCATAAGCGAGATGCTAAACAAGAGAGAGAGATAAGAATAATACTGAACTGGCCCAAAAACTCTAGCCTCCTGCCACATTGCTACATTTTTCAACATGGCTTCAAGCAACAAATTAATAGTATTGTAAATTCAGGAATTCAATCTATACCAAATGACCAAAACCATGTTCCCATTCCCCAAGTATATCGTTTAGGCACCAAACAAGTGAGGAGATTTAATAAGGTTCTATAGCTGCAGTTTTTAGACCACTATTCTTTATATATTCTTACCTCCATTCCAACCGTCGCTATAGTTATTAGTTCACACAGATTTATCACTTCCCTCAACTCTCATTCTTGACTTACATCACATTGAAACTATCTTATAGAGATGGCAATTTAAACCCGGCCCGATGGGGACCCGACCCCCCGACCCCGATTAACACGGTGTTTCCCCGAAAAATACCCCTGACGAGCCGGGGACGGTATTAAAAAAAAAATCCCCACTCATTTTCGGGCCGGGGACGGTGATAAGTGGTTCGGCCCCGGCCCCGGCCCCGGCCCGATCCCGGCCCCGTTCCCCGTTGTTTCTCCCCGCCTCCCTCTCCCTCTCTAATTTCAAATCTAAAATAATACACTCATCTAATATAATATAATATAATATTTATATCTATACTCTGTGTTGACTAGAAGGGACAGAACCAACTACTTTCTATACTCAACATAAATAATAATAAACCTAATATAATATAATATTATATCTGTACTCATATAATAAATACTCCTCTCTCTCTCTCTCTCTATTATCTCAGAACTCATCTCACAATCCGAAAACCAGAACACACCTTTCATCTCCCTCATTTCAGATCTCTCTCTCTCCCATCTCAGATCCTCTCTCCCCTCACACACGGCTTCATTTCGCGTGAGAAAAATGAGAGAGAGAGAAGCGCCGATCTCACAGCGCCCCTCCTCCGCCGATCTCACAGCGCCGCTTCTCCACCACCCTCCTCTGCCGTCATGTCGATCTCCATCGCTGCCTTCCTTCGCGATCTCCTCCGCCGCCTGACCCTTCCGCCTCTCTTTCTCTGTGTTGTATATACACGCACACACATATATATATATATATTAGATTGCAGCTAGATCTATCTCTCTCTCTACTTAGATCTACCTCTCTTTACTCAGATTTGTGTGTTGTTGATGTTGTTTGATGATATTGTTGTTGATGATGTTGTTTGAATAGTTGTTGTTGTTGTTTTTTTTTTTTTTTTTTTTTTTCCGGGGAATTTTTGGGGGGGGGGAAACCCGACCCCCGTTAGGGGGGGGGGGTGGGGGTGGTGAGAGACTCCCCGTCGGGGATCGGGACCGGGGACGGGGAAATTCCGTCGGGGAAACCCGATCCCCGTTAGGGGACGGGGATGGGGATGGTAATAGGTTCCCCGTCGGGGATCGGGATCGAGGCCGTGGCCGGGGACATTCTTATCATCGGGGATCGAGGACGGGGAAGGTGATCCCCGGCCCCGCCCCGCCCCGTTGCCATTCCTACTCTCTTAGCCTCTCTAGTGACATCCTTGGTGTTGTCACCTTACCTTCACTCTTTAAAATGCTTAAAATACTTTCAATGTATGTAGCCATATAATTTACTATAATTGTTTCTTATTGACATCCATCATTAAGATTCAATTTACATATTAGGATTTTAAATTTTGGTTATAGTTGCTCGTGAATATATCAACTGATACCATTATTTAAATTCATGCAATTACATACACTACTCTTTTTTCTGTACACCACAATGTATATGATTGGGGGCTCAAACATCTATATTTTACTGGATTTTGATACTTGAATCAACCTCACTGGTGAGGAAACAAGAGAGATGAATGCTTTGAGGGCCCATAACTGAGAAGGTTACTTCATCATTACTATTTAACTCCAAATTCAACTTGCATGAGCACTTGTTCCCTACCATTAGTGAACACAAGAACACTGCACACTTATCTTTTGGAGCACCTTTAAGTATGCTTCTCCTTGTAGATGAACCAAGGCCAAGTGTTGCCTGTTTGATCACATCAATCAAAACCAAATTTCAATAGATTGGTTTATTATTGTGAAAATTTGTATTAAATTGTTTAGTATAACTTTTACTTATAGTTTATCAAATATTAAATAATTCAAATAAGTTTAAAAAATTGATTATCTGAAAATTAGTGAAGGGATACTGACCTATATTTTTTTATTATCAACTTTTAACTTATAATAAACTGTTGGAACAATATTTTGTGTAAATAAAATAAATTCAAACTAATTCAAACAAAATAAAATAAAACTTACAGAAATTATTTTGTCGAACCAAACGAAAATTAAAAGACCAAGTCGAGTATGTGACACTCTGTCCTTAAGATAGATTCGCCCCGCTACGGTGTTTACGGCTGAGTGGCATCTATCTCGCAGGATACAATAATCTTCACAAACTTGTAGTAGCACTCTACACAAATTTGTACAGCGAACTAGAACCTTGTGTTCTTACTCTCTGAAATTTAATTCTAAAACTAAAATGAAGAAAAATGCACAAAATAAATACTGGACAGCAAAGAAATAATTTGCAGACTGATTTCCAGATTCTCTAACACTGCTGGAATGTTGGTATTTATAGGCACAAAAATCCCTGTCGAACAAGTATGAATCTGTCCAACAGATTCAGTTTTGAAAGTGAATAGGTATGTACCTGTTATGAACAGGTATACTTCAAATTCAAACAGATCTAACTGTTGGACTGTTATACCCGGAACTGCTGGGCAGTTTGTAAAAGTTAAAAAACTGAAAAAACAGTTTTAAACTGTTAAGGAATTTCGAACTGAATGAGATAAATTTAGACGAAAAAATAATTCAATTTTTGGCACAAAATTTAAATTTAATTTTATTTAAAATTAAAATAAATTTTGTCCAAAAAATTAATATAAGAACCAACCCGACCCACATCCCACACCCGCGCCCGGCATGGGCGGACGGACCGACGGCGGCGGGGCACGCGCTCGTGTGTGGTGGTTTGGGCTATGGTTCACTTTGTCCATAACTCCTCCCTTCTACAAACTTGGGATGCCCCTTGGGGCCCAACCCAAGTGTTGTAGGCTAGAGTTTATATACTCAACAAAACTCTCTTAAAGTTTCAATGTGGGATAGGCCTCACAAGGAAATCCACATTTAAAACTTAAATGTTCAATTCCCGAACCCGAAAACGACGTCATGTTCCCATTCACTCATAAATTGTTTTGACGAACCGTCTTCACCGTGTGACTTGCCACGCGGTAAGAAACACTTCACCTCTTCGGACCCACCCCAAAAGACATTCGAGGCCCACTCAATTTTGGGCTCAAAGTCGGCCCAAAATAAGCCTATGTAAACAAATTTTCCAACAATCCCCCATATGAATAGAATTTGACGGAGAAAAAATACAACAACATGATCTAAATACAAAGAGTACAGAAATTGGAAATATTCTGCAAAGGATAGGTAGCTTTTGGCTTTAAACCTTCCCTTGTGAGACACTATCGGATTTACTAGCTAACCAGTGAACATGATGTCTTGAACTGTTCAGCCGTTTGTGTAAACCAAGACAATAGAACTCACACAGTATTTTCCTAGACACAGTTTAGTTCTCACTATTGTGTTCATTTTGGCCCTAAACAACCTGGTCTTTCATGAGTGCTCTAGAGAATTGTTGCCCTTCATAAATCTCATAGAACCGACCCAGTTCACACTCATATAGGTGATTCTTATGAAGAGTATCCTGTCATACTCCATTAGGTATACCTAGATATAAGAATCATTAAAAGTATTACTTAACCTAAAAACACTGCAGACATCATTATATCATCATAGAAATGGGTAGGAGTTGGACTCCCTAGTGATCCTTCTGAGTCAATCGCAACTCGGTTGTCCCTTTTAACCTAGATTTTGGGATCTCCAGTCAACTAGGTTGGGTTGCCGTTGTGGTAACTCTTATTTAATAGGCTTAAGTCCCATTCCCCTCGATGAATTCTCAACTAACTCACTTGCTAACCCTTTAGTTAGTGGATCCGTTATATTGTCTTTAGACTTTACATATTCAATGGAAATAATTCCATTAGAGAGTAGTTATCTCACGGTATTATGTCGACAACGAATGTGTCGAGACTTACCGTTATACATATGACTCTGTGCTCTACCAATTGCTGATTGACTATCACAATGTATGCATATAGCAGGCACCGGTTTTGGCCAAATTGAAATATCTTCAAAGAAGTGGCGAAGCCATTCTGCCTCTTCCCCTACTTTGTCTAAAGTTATGAATTATGATTCCATAGTAGATCTAGCAATACAAGTTTGTTTGAAAGATTTCCAAGATACAGTTGCCCTGCTTGGAAGATTTCCAAGATACAGCTGCCTCACCAAGAGTAAAGACATACCCACTAGTGGACTTTGAATCTCTAGTATCCGATATCCAATTTTCATCACAGTAACCTTCAAATACTGTTGAATATCTAGTATAAGTCAGCCCAATGTTACGAGTAAATCGAAGATATCTTAGAACCCTTATAATTGGTTTCTAGTGTTCTACTCCCGAATTACTCGTATATATGCTTAATTTACTTACTGTATAAGCTATATCTGGGCGAGTGCAGTTCATCAAGTACATTAAGCTTCCAATAATTTAGGCATGCTCTAATTGAGAAATACTTTCTTGTACATTCTTAGATAGAAACAAATTAACATCTACAGGTGTTCTAGCAAGATGATCATCATCTTTGCTGAATTTGTCAAGTATTTTCTCAATGTAATGAGATTGTGACAAAGCATGACCTTATGATGGTTTGGTAATTTTCATACCAAGAATTATATCAGCAATGCCCATGTCCTTCATGTCAAAATGTTTATTCAACATTTTCTTGGTGGTTTTAATCATATCATTATTACTACCTATGATGAGCATATCATCTACATAAAGACATACAATGACATAACCTTTGTTTGTGTTTTTAATATAAACACATTTGTCACACTCATTAATTTTGAATCCATTTGACATCATTACCTTGTCAAATTTCTCATGCCATTGCTTTGGCACTTGTTTTAAACCATATAATGATTTAACCAATTTACACACTTTCTTTTCTTTTCCTGAAACTGAAAAACCTTCTGGTTGTTCCATGTAAATTTCTTCATCTAACTCACCATTTAAGAAAGCGATTTTTACATCCATTTGATGAATGTCTAAATTGTATAAAGATGCAATGGCAATTAACATTCTAATGGATGCTATTCTAGTAACCGGTGAGTAAGTGCCAGTAATCAAGACCTTCTTTTTGTCTAAAACCTTTGACCACAAGTCTTGCCTTGTATTTGTCAATTGATCCATCTACTTTCAATTTTCTTTTGAAAATCCACTTGTACCCAAGAGGTTTACAACCTAGTGGCAAATCCACCAATTCCCAAGTGTGATTTTGCAAAATGGATTCAACTTTACTATTGATAGCTTCTTTCCATAAAGGAGCTTCAGGACTGGACATAGCCTCTTTATCAGTTAAAGGCTCATTTTCTAACAAAAATGTTAAGAAATCTGGACCAAAAGATTTTGAGGTTCTAGCACGTTTACTATGCCTAGGTCCCTCTCCCTCATTTTGATCTAACTCTTGTTCTTGATCTTGTTCATGATCCTGACTAGTAATAGCATCATGAGATCTTTTACTAGTCTCTTGTCCAATCTTATTTGAAAATACATGTTCAAAGAAAGATGCATTCCGTGACTCAATAATAGTATTTACATGCATTTCGGTATGTTCTGATTTATGAATCAAAAACCGATATGCACTACTATTCTTAGCATAACCAATGAAAATGCAATCAATGGTCTTAGGATCTATCTTAGACTTTTTAGGACTAGGAATAGCCACTTTAGCCAAACATCCCCACACTTTTAAATATTTGTAAGATGGTACTCTACCATGCCACATTTCATAAGGTGTTTGATTTACTTTCTTTTGGGATACTTTATTTAAAATATAATTAGCAGAAAGTATTGCTTTCCCCCACAAGTTCTGAGGTAATCTAGAACTTATTAACATGGCATTCATCATTTGTTTTAAAGTCCTATTTTTCCTTTCAGCAATTCCATTTTGCTGAGGTGAGTAAGGAGCAGTGGTTTGATGAATTATTCCATGTTCTTTACAAAACTCACCAAAAGGTGATTCATATTCACCACCTCTATCACTTCTAAGTTTCTTGATTTTCTTACCAAGTTGATTTTCAACTTCATTCTTATATTGAATGAAAGTTTCCAAAGCTTCATCCTTGGTTCGAATTAAATAAATATAACTATATCTAGTATAGTCATCTATAAAAGTGATTACATACTTTTTTCCACCTCTGGTTTGAATTGATTTAAAATCACAAATGTCACTATGAATTAATTCAAGTGGTTCCGTACTTTTTTCAATTGAATGAAAAGGAGTTTTAGATAATTTTGCCTCAACACAAATTTCACATTTATGATTTGAATCAATGTCAAATTTAGGTAAACATTCCATATTAATTAATCTACGCAAAGATCCATAATTAACATGTCCTAGTCTACCACGCCATAAATTTGAAGACTCAAGCAAGTAAGAAGAAGATGTATTATTATTAATAACTAAGGGTACAACTGTCATTACATTTAACTTGAAAAGGCCATCAGACATGTAACCTTTTCCCACATACATCCCATTCTTAGTAAGTACAAATTTATCACTCTCAAATACTAGCCTAAAACCATTCTTACTTAACAAAGATCCGGAAATAAGATTATTGCGAATGTTTGGTACATGCAGCACATTGTTGAGAATGAGTTCCTTTCCACATGTCATCTTGAGTATAATCTTTCCTTGTCCTTCAACTTTGGAAGTTGAGGAGTTGCCCATAAAAAGTTGTTCACCATTGTCCATTGTAGAATAAGATGTGAACATCTTTTTGTTGGCACAAATATGGCGAGTAGTACCAGTGTCCACCCACCATTCTTTAGGATTTCCAACAAGATTTGCCTCAGAAACAACAGCAGAAAGATTGATATCATCTATACCGTTGGAAATATTGTCCACTTTGGTCATATGGGCTTGAGAAGGCTTCTTGCTTGTTCTTCTTTTGCTTTTGCCTTTGCTACGGCAATCTCTGGCCCAATGTTCCTCTTTGTCACAGATGTAACATTTGCCATGAAACTTGTACTTTTTATTTTCCTCCCCTTTAGAGCCTTGTGATGAACTTTCTCCAGAAGGCTTTCGTTTCTTGGTTTTTGAAGCATGTTCCACCACATTTGCCATAGACTCCATAGGATGCTTACCAGCCCGCTTTTCAGAATTGCGGTTGTCCTCCTCAATCCTCAAACGCACAATTAATTCTTCTATAGAAATTTCTTTGCGCTTGTGTTTGAGGTAGTTCTTGAATTCCTTCCAGTCTTGTGGCAATTTCTCAATTAAGGTTGCAACTTGGAAGGATTCACTGAGAGACATGTCTTCTGCGTGAATATCATGCAGAATGAGTTGGAAATCTTGAACTTGGCTGATCACAGTTTTTGAATCAACCATTACAAAATTCAGGAATCTGCCAACCACAAATTTCTTTGAGTCGGCATCTTCCGTTTTGTATTTTTTCTCCAAAGACTCCTAAAGTTCCTTTGCTATCTTGATAGGACTGTAGACGTTGTATAATGTGTTGTCAAGTCCGTTCAAGATGTAGTTCCGGCAAAGGAAATCAGCATGTTTCCAGGCATCAACCGCAACAACCACTTGCCGGTCGGTTTCATCCTCTTTCAAAATAGGAGCATCCTCACGGAGGAAACGAGCCAGGTTCAGAGTTGTAAGGTAGAACAACATTTTCTGTTGCCATCTTTTAAAGTCAGTTCCTGAGAACTTCTCTGACTTTTCACCGTGATTTACCGATACTGTCACAACAGGAGAGGGGGTTGGCGTCATTGCAGCCACCACAGTAGTACTTGTTTGAGCATTAGTTTCTGTAGCCATCAATTCTAAATTATAAAATAAAATTATAATTAAAATTTACACTACACAGAAAATTAATCCAAATTCACAGAATTAAATTCTGTAAAAATAAAAGAAACAAGAATGTAACTTTTATTTTTCAATTAATTTGGAAATAAAATAAAATTTTATTTAACCAAATTAATTCCACACAGAAAATTAAATTCCTGTAAACACTTCAATAATTAAAAAAAAACTAACACAGTATTTTTTTAATTAATGAACACTCAGAAATAAATTAAGAAAACCAAAATTAATTTCTGACAAAATTTCAAAAAAATATATTCTGAATTGTTACTGACACCAGTATATTACTACTAGTTGTCAAAGAAAATAGACAGTATATTACTACTTTCTGTCAAATAACATATAATCACTATTTGTTTTTCCAACCAGAATATTATTTTATAAATTCACAGAAAATAATTTTCTTAAAAGAAAAATGAGAAAGGGAAATCAAACGAAAAATTCTGTAAACAGAATAATTTGAATCTGTCTTAAGATTGTTGGAACAATCTGCTGCGTAAATAAACTAAATTCAAACTAATTCAAACAAAATAAAATAAAACTTGCAAAAATTATTTTGTCGAACCAAACAAAAATTAAAAGACCAAGTCGAGTGTGTGACACTCTGTCCTTAAGACAGATTCGTCCCGCTACGGTGCTTACGGTTAAGTGGCGTCTATCTCCCAAGATACAATGATCTTCATAAACTTGTAGTAGCACTCCACACAAATTTGTACGGCGAACTAGAACCTTGTGTTCTTACTCTCTGAAATTTAATTCTAAAACTAAAATGAAGAAAAATGCACAAAATAAATACTGGATAGCAAAGAAACAATTTGCAGACTGATTTTCAGATTCTCTAACACTGCTGGAATGTTGGTATTTATAGGCACAAAAAGCCCTGTCCAAACAGGTATGAATCTGTCCAACAGATTCAGTTTTGAAAGTGAACAGGTATGTACCTGTTATGAACAGGTATACTTCAAATTCAAACAGATCTAACTGCTGAACTGTTATACTTGGAACTGCTGGGCAGTTTGTGGAAGTTAAAAAATTTAAAAAATAGTTTTAAACTGTTAAGGAATTTCGAACTGAAGGAGATAAATTTAGAAAAAAAAATAATTCAATTTTTTTAATTAAATAAAATTAAATTTAAATTTTGTGCAAAAAATTAATATAAAAACCAACCCGACCCACATCCCACACCTGTGCCCGGCACGGGCGGCAGCGGGGCGCGTGTGCGTGTGTGGTGGTTTGGGCTATGGTTCACTTTGTCCATAACTCCTCCCTTCTACAAACTTGGGGTGCCCCTTGGGGCCCAACCCAAGTGTTGTAGGCTAGAGTTTATATATTCAACAAAACTCTCTTAAAGTTTCAATGTGGGACAAGCCTCACAAGGAAACCCACATTTAAAACTTAAATGTTCGATTCCACGAACCCGAAAATGACATCATGTTCCCATTCACTCATAAATGGTTTTGATGAACCATCTTCACCGTGTGACCTGCCTCGCGGCAAGGAACACTTCACCTCTTCGGACCCACCCCAAAAGACGTTCGGAGCCCACTCAATTTTGGGCTCAAAATCGGCCCAAAATAAGCCTATGTAAACCAATTTTCCAACATAAACTACACCAAATAGACCCAATTAAGCAAAGAAACCTTCTCGTTAGGTAAATTTTAGTTTTCTGTTTATGTTTTCATTTTGTTTGTAAATTATAAATAGAAAACTTAATTAGTATACTGTTTTTGCTTTTAAAAAAAATGATATTAATGCTCAAATTTTCAAAAAAATTTGAAAGAAAAAAAAAAGTGTTTTACTTGTTTTCAAAATCAGTTTTCACTCCTTTCTCCCTCCATCCTTCCCTTACCACCTCTCTTAGTCAAAATGTACACAAAAGAGGCCAATTGAGCTAACTCAATTGATTATCTATTGTATTAACTATAACATCTAAGTTTTAAAATATTGGTTTTTTTTTAGATAGTAAAACATTGATTTTTTTTTTTTTTATAGGCCTTGTTTTTATATCAAAATTGGGTGTCTTTTACAAAACAAGAGATAAAATTGTAACATATATATATATATACATAAATTTTTTAAAAATTAAATAAAGCCTTGAGAAATTTGGGATCTAAAACCAGAGTTTTGTTGACTATATATGGTTGAATCCAGGAAAGAGGCATTAGTTTGAGAAAGGAAAATAAACCTGAGATATGTGAAGCTTTACTCCCGAATCAAGTTGGCAAGTGTATGGTGAGCCAGGTTTGACTTCAATCCCTGTAAAATAAAACAAAATAAAATAAGAAAATGATATAGAAGATCATTTTCTAAACCCACTTTCTAGATGTGTAAGTAAGATAATTAGTTAATAATTAAAGAAGACATGAGAGACAGAGAGATTTGTCTTAAATATTCTAATAGACTGCCACATCATTAAGTTTGAAAAGTAAGTCTAATTTTTTTGGCCTGAGTAACATTACCCAATAAAATAATATTGATTTGTAAATGAAAAAAATATATATCAAAAAGGTTTCAAGAGTTGTGTAGAATTTAGTTGAAGTGCATAAATGTATGGTACAAGCGTTAGGTTTGTTGGATCAATAAGACTACAATTATTAATGTTATGTTTGGATTATAATTTTTGATTAAAGTTTAGAATGAAAAGGAAAGCAAAATGGAGTAAAACATTAACTTATGTTTCAGTTGCAGTCAGGACAACCATCTACCCTGCATCTTTATCCAAGTATCAGCCAATTCCAATGTATATTTCCCAAATATGTGCCAATATAAGCAAGGTCCACTTCAGAAATAGTCAGATACAGTAATTCAAGTAAAAACAGTGCCTCAAAACAATCATCTCAAGTACATGGCAACACCTCTATATATTGCATCACTAATCTATACACCATACTGCACAAATCCAAAAACTTAGCTTGTGAAAACATTAAATATCTTATCCAGTGATTCTCCCCAATAAAATAAACAAATAATATTAATAGTAACACAAACAAGATTGTAATAACTACAAATTTTAAACAAATGAAATTAAAAACTAACAATCAAAGTGTGTATGTCATCCAACCTTTTTTGGATTAGCTATGGACAAATTTTGTTGCTACATTGAATACTGGATATCCACAACTGCCTTTGATGGTTTTCCTTGTACTGAAACAAACCAGAAATGTTAAAATTAGTATATGGAGACAGGTATCTTCAATAGAAAACAAGAATGAAATTCAGCAAAAACAACTATTGAAGTCCAAAAAATACGTCAGTGTACAGCTAAACAACTTACTAAAATATTATAGGCAAAATTATCAAGCAAATGAGTAAAGCCATGCTCACCAACAGTAAGTATCCCAATTCATGAATCCAAAGACCTATAAAATGCAACAAAAAAATTGAAATAGATTAAATTTCATAAAAACATAACTGGTCATCCAAATACCTTTAATGTTTCGATCCAAACCCTATAAGTAGATTCAAATCATAAAATAAGAAGAAACAAAGAGAGAGGAGATCCGAGAGAGAAAGGAAGAGAACGAAAAGATTACCAGATAAAGAAGTTGAGGGAGTTCGTACCATTGGAGGCCTCTTATTTAGACGACCATGGCGATTTATAGAGCAAGAAACAGAGCGAAATCGAGAGAGGAATATCTAGAGCAAAATCGATAGAGAGAGAGAGAAAAAAAAGAGAGAGAGAGAAAGAGAGAGCAAAATTAAGACAGATTTGGGAAATAAGAGTGAAAGGGGATAGGGCAAGTTTTATACGATTTGGGAATACGGCAAGCTCGAGAGCGAGAATGAGAGAGAACGCGAGACTGAAAGAAAGAGCTAGATATAACCTGGTATTGCGGCAATGGCGGTGGTGATTTGCAACGATGACGATTTGTGACGATGGCGGTGGTAATGTGCGACGTCGAATGCTTCCCAGTGGTAAGCGCCTGTGGTGAGGTGAGGTGAGGTGAGATTTGGTAGTGACTGATTGTGTGTGTGTAAGAGAGAGAGAAAGAGAGTGTGTGTGTTTTGTATTCCTAAACAGAGGAGAATACCTGGGAGGGCGCCAATAGGTTTTTATTTTCCCACTAAAATTTTGGCACCTTTGGCGACTAATTTCAAATTTTGTCGGCAAAAATGTAAGTAATAACGACTAAATTATTTAGTAGCCAAATCAACTCAAATAGTGACTAAAATGTTAGTCACCAAAACTCAATATACATTGACTGAAATTCTTTTTTGTCGCTGAAAATAAACTTTTGGCGACCAAAATTTTAGTCGCCAAAGGTAAAAAAATAATTTTTTTTATTTTCTATTTGGCGACTAAATATTTTAGTAGCCGAAACTCAACATATAGCGACTAAAATTCTTTTTTTCGTTGAAAATAAACTTTTGGCGACCAAAATTTTAGTCGCTAAAGGTAAAAAATAATTTTTTATTTTTCAGTCGGCGACTAAATGGTTTTAGTAGCCAAAACTCAATATACGGCGACTAAAATTCTTTTTTGTCTCCAATTCTGGCAATTTTTAGTGACTAAATTTTTTTTAGTCGCCAATAATCAATAGACCCCTACTAAAAAAAATTAGTAGCTAAATATTGTACTTTTGCAGACTAAAAAAATTTTAGTCGCCAATTCTGTAACTTTTGGCGACTAAATTTTTTTAGTCGCTAATTTAGTCGCCAAAGGTGCATTTTGTTGTAGTGTAGGTGAAAGTCCCGAAAAAAGCGTGTATACATGGGTGCTAGTTCCCGTGGATGAAATATCTGTAAAATGGCAACAATAGCGCTTATATAAGCAACGTTTACATGGGTGCCGTTTGACGGTTTCCCACGGACGAAATATTCGTGAAAGGATGTATCAGTTGAGAATCCCCATTGTTTTCTATTGTAAAGAATATTGAGAATCGTGATATAAATCGAGCATGACATGATTTTGAAAAAGAAATATAAACTGTTTTGTCATGACATGATTTTGAAAAAGAAATATAAACTGTTTTGTCATGAGCATTGCATATGCATTTCACTTTTATATCTTTATTAAGATTCATTTATTTTGTTAGAGATTATCTCTATTAGGCTTCAGCTCACCCTATGTGGGAAAAACATTTCAGGTGCTGATGATATGTCTCCGCCAATGTACTAGCTTGGGAGGATCTAGAGCAATAACTTCTTTTGTTGTGTTTGTTTTGTATAGTCAAGGGTTTTAAATGATTGGACTTAAAATCCACCTTTGTTATAACCAAGCCTCGTCTTGGAAATATGTAAGCCCTCAGGGCATTTTTATCTGTTTATCTTCCTTTCTCTCTTTTAACTTGCAACACATGCTATAGATTCAGGACTAGGCTTTATGAATGTATGATGCATATGTTTCCCTTTTGTATATCATATTGGATTTAATGGAAGATACCCCTATTATTGTTATTGTCATATATTGGATATTGTAGATAGATTATTATAATTATTTTGGGGCGTTACAACCTCACTCTCTAACCAATGAATGTCATTAAAATCACATACAAACATAATTTTTATATAGTTGTAATCTATATATTATATAAGAAAAATGGGGTTTCTAACCCACAAGTCTTATGGGAGCTCCAAAATCTCAATCTTAATTTTTTTAATTTTTTAATTTAAAAAAAAACCTCAACATTTATTAATTTCTTCAAATCCACAAACTTTTTTGACTTCTCTCATACCTACTGCTGCACCATTTTCAACTCACTACAACATATAAGAGTTTTAAAGACCAAATATTTGGTCTCTAAAAGTGAAAATTTTATAACAAAATACATTTAGAGACCAATTTCTATCGTCATAAGGATAGTCGCTAAAAGGTCGTCTTGAAAAGTCAAAAATAGAAAATGTCACTAATAAATAGAATTTCAGGGACAATATAATTTGGTCTCAAAATAATTTATTTTTTGAGAAAAAAAATTGGTCCCAAAAAGATAATAATTCATCACTAATGTCTAATTTCCGTTGCTAAAAATATAATAATGACACTTTTTGCAACAAAAATATTTGGTACTTAAAAAAATAATTGTCCCTAATTTTTAGTCTCTACAACCTTAATTTTTTTGTAGTGACTTCTTCCATACACAATGGTTAGTGGTGAGATTGTTAAATTATTTTTATAAAAATCTAAAAAAATAATAATTTGTATGTTAAAAAAATATCTAAAACAAATATAAATTCTTATTAAAAAGTAGCAGGTTGCAATTACGAAAAAACAAAAGAGAAAAAAAAATACACTGTAAAAAATAATTTGTATATTAAAAAAATATCTAAAAAAATATAAATTTTTATATATAAAAAAAATAACAGGTTGCAATTGCGGGGAAAAAAAAAGAGAAAAAAAATTACACTGTGCATTTCATTAAAATCTTAAAAAAATAATTTGTATATTAAAAAAATATCTAAAACAAATATACATTCTTATTAAAAAATAGGGAGATTGACCAATAAGTCCCATATTTTGGACTTGTAAATTATATAGTCCCATATTTTTTCGTGTGATCCATTTAGTCTTTTTGGATGTATAATGACTCATTTGCCATCACATTGGAGTGTCACAATTAAAAAAAGTACACTAAAGAGTTTTTTAGTGTCACATCATACCCGCCATATTAGAGTGTCACGTTTTAAAAAAGTATACTAAAGAGTTTTTAATTTTTTTAGAGTGTCGCATCATACCCGCCACGTTAGAGTGTCACATGTCACGTTTGGAAAAAAATACACTAAGAAGTTTTAATTTTTTTTTGAAGTGTCACATCATACCTATCACGTTATCATGTTTGGGAAAAGTACACTAAGGAATTTTTATTTTTTTTGAAGTGTCACATCATACCTGTCACGTTGTCACGCTTGAAAAAAGTACACTAAAGAGTTTTTATTTTTTTTTAAGTGTCACATCATATCTGCTACGTTGTCACGTTTGAGAAAAGTACACTAAGGAGTTTTTATTTTTTTGAAGTGTCACGTCATGCCTGTCACGTTGTCATGTTTGAAAAAAGTATACTAAGAAAGAATTATTTTTTTAGAGTGAAAGTTTTAGAGTGTCACATCATAGCCGTTGCGTTGTCACATTTAGAGAAAGTATATTAAGGAGTTTTTAATTCTTTTAGAGTGTCACATTGTTGGAGTGTGATATTGATACATGTCATATTGGAATATCACATCATACATGTCACATTAATAAAAAGGTATAATTGTCTATCAAAACACTACCAACATAAAAAATAGGACCACTCGAAAAGAAACTTTCCACTAATAGGTCTTAACGGATCAATAGAAAAAATTTGGGACCAATTGGAATACTATTTGTGAGATGAGATTTATTGGTAAATATCTCTTAAACAGGTTGCAATTGTGGAAAAAAAAGAAGAAGAAGAAAAAGCAGAAGAAGAAGAAGAAGAAGAAGAAGAAGAAGAAGAAGAAGAAGAAGAGGAGGAGAAAAAAAATTAAACTGTGCATTTCATTAAAATCTAAAAAAAAAATAATTTGTATATTTAAAAAATATCTTAAACAAATATAAATTCTTATAAAAAAAATAACAGGTTGCAATTGGTAAAAAAAAAATTACATTGTAAAAAATAATTGGTATATTAAAAAATAGCAGGTTGTAATTGCGGGAAAAAAAAGTACACTGCCCATTTCATTAACAATGCTGAAAAATTGTGCCAAATATTTGTGTAAAGGTTTGACACGTATCCACTCTCAAATTATCAAGTGTATGTAGATGAAACGAAATAACTCAGTTTTAATGGCTAACAAATATTATAAACCTGATCATTGAAGCCTAATAACTATTAATTAATAGAATTCAGCAAGTGAAAGTCTTAAACCACATTTCTTTGTCTTCTCAAATGTTTCATTTTTTTGGTCATGCATTCATTCTAATATTGATAGAGAATTGGACGTGTAAAAGAGTGAGAGACATTAAAATTATATATATAGAGAGAGAGTTATGTAATTGTTGTGATGAAAAATAAAGGTTGTCTTTTTCTTCTATGACGATTTATCTGATTATACTTCCAATTAAAACGTCAAGTGTGCTTTTACATCATCATTGAACGTTACTTTTATTTTTTTTAGATACTTTGTCTTACAATTGCTTGTTTTTGTGTTATGAAATTTTTTATATTTGTGTTTGGTAAAACTATTAGATGGACCTAATGAAAGAAGTGCAAACTATTTTAATATCATTCTCGGGATTAGAAATACAAAAACTATACACAAAAAATATATGAATAGAAAAGATTTTACAAAATTTATTTGTAAGTCTTACTTCTTGAAAATTCTATAATTCATTTATCTTTTGTATTATATTTTATGTTTGGTTTCTGTACATTTTTTTTTTAATATATAGTTTTCTTTGTTTCCTTTAAATGTTTATTTTAAAAAATTAATAAATAAATAATTTTATATTTCAAATAATTTTATTTTTGTTTTTATTTTTTCTTAAAGTAGTTTTAGTTTTGGGCAATTACTTACTTTATATATATATATATATATATTATAATTTTATGCATTTTAAGTTTATGATGTTTTCACTAATATACTCGGAGATGCACTATGAAAGAAGTATCATGCGAAAATCAAGCTAAAAGAAGAAAAATAAATAAAATAATACGATGAATGTGGAGCAAAGATCAAAGATCAAAACTAGCAAAACAAACAAGTAAAATAGAATGTTTAACAATAAACATTTGAAAATTTGCAACAAAATTTTATAACTTTTCTTTTTACTAAGAAAATTTTATTTGGCACTAGCTAAAAAAATGCTTTTAAAATAGTTTTTTTTTTTTTAAAAAAAATTAAAGTTAAAACTATAGTAAATTTATGTAAACATTATTGCTAACCACATTTTTTTACTTAATGTATAATATTTATATTAACTACCTTTTTCAAAGTAAACAAATGTCATTAAAAATAAATTTTTTCTTAATTTAGTTATAAATTTTGTCCGTATATTATTTTTTAATTTTGAATAAAAGCAAAATAAAATAATTAATTGAAGATATGTTACATTTGTTATATTCCTTTTTCTATATAAAAAATAAAATAAAATAAAATTTAAAAATTACAATTTACACACACACACACATATATATATATATATATATAAATAATTATAAACAAAACCCGTATATAACACGGGTGGAACCGTAGTTTGCTTCATTGGCAAGGGTCAATTCAAATGACAGTATCTTGTGAGGTGTGAATCCTATTGTAGTGTCAACACTTCGTACGTGAATTTATTCTACAAGATTGAAGGACTACAATCTTTTTCTTTTTTCTTTTCTCATTGTCATTCCATGTACAGAATAAATTAAAAATTAACAGAAGTTAGAAGAAAATGATTAAGAATAATGGGTTTCACATAACAACTAGAGAGCAGCAACTACAAACCCAAGGCCACCCCACTACAGACAAAACTTCAGCCACATTACTGGAAATTCTCAGTTCTCCCAAAAAGACCGATCAATCATTTTAGCACGATTGATAACACCCTTTTTGCTAATCGTCCCATGCATCTTCATCCGTAATCTACCCTAAGCCGTTTTACTTCAGCCTGGAAAGTTGGGCTCAAAGTTAGAGTCCGATGTGCAAGAACCCTTATGTCCTCTCTTGAGCATTCTTGCGATATGCGAACAAGCTCCCACAAGGCACCTCCACTAATCATGTCCTTCGCATTAGCTTCTGAAATGTAGTCAATTAAAAGCCAATTCAGACACCATCCATCGAAAAATTCAGGTTTCAAGGTGGAAATAGATGAGCAAACTCACCGTGTTGTGCTAAATGGCAGAGCGCAAGCTCAATGTGGCGCCTGATTGGTGAGGCTTCATTGTTAGCGTTTTGTACAATCCATGGGAGTGCACCATCCTCAATCAGAAAAGACTTCCCACTTTTAGACCCTGTGGCAATGAGACCATCAGTAATATAATGCATTAACATTTTAAAAAAAAAAAAATCGTATTATGCATTTACTATATCCCCGCTTCAAGTTTGATGAGATTATAGCTGATGCAAAAAGTTGATTACAATTCTTGGCTTTTGTTAAAATTGGAAGAAATTTATCATGTAAAAAGTAATAATAATAATAATAATAATAATAGTATGACAAATACAGCAGCACTTCGCTTGGAGATAAATATTACAACAGCCTACCTTGAGTAGATGCCCTGGATTCACATTTTGCAAAGTTTGCAATGCCACGGGCAACTTGAGCAAGAACGTCAGGATGCCTGCATCTCACCATTCCTAGTAATGCCTTAATACCACCTTCACCTCTCAGCTTCGTCTGTAACTTATCTGAAAGTTGCAACATTAAGTGTCGTCAGTCACAGTAAAATGCCAGCCCAAAGACCAGTTGCAACCAACATTCCAGTCAGTAACACAGCTAACATGTTAAAATTTCCAGTTCATATGACAAACAACCCTTATTTACACCATTCCAAGATCAGGAACTTGGTTCACATGAAACTAGAATGCTAACAACACACTTTGGTCCAAATAAGATCAGATCAACTAACTTCTAGACTATAGTTAATCAACAATCAACAGTTTTCAGGTAAATTTAATACTCCAAAGCAATTGCTTGTATGGAGAAAGCAGAAGTTTTCTATAGTAGGGAGATCCGACAATATGCCCATACAGGAATAAAGATGCTCCAAGGAACTGACAATATGATCAGACATTTCAAGTTGATTGCCTGAAGTGGCACAAATATCTCTATGCCCATCATGCAAGAAAAGAATTGCTTGAAGAATAACAAAATAACAATATGATAAACTGTTTCAAATTGGTTTATGGAAGTGGAAAATATATTTTCCCAATTACTACAGCAGCTCTTGCACAGGCTATCTTTACCTTTCTCTTCAGCATGTGCATAAACCAACCATAATCTCATATGTCAGGAAAAGCAAACCTTCTTACAACAATGGTAATGCAAGGAACTAACAAGTTCAGTAGAATGAACATCAATAAGAAGGGAGATTACCGTTGCCACAAAGATTAGCTATGGCTCCAGCAACCATACGAAGGGTTTGAGAATCCTCGGCATTGGCTGCAGTCATTGACAACAAACTAATGCCTCCTTGAGCCATTATAAGCTCCTGGTTGGTTTCTGTTAAAATAAAAAAAAAATTATAAACGTTAGACATGATGAATAGATAGCGAGCCAAGCAACCCGTGCCAAAATTAGCAATACATCACTTCAAGATTGTAAGATATACTGAAGTACAAAAAAGTAAAGGAAATTTACCATTCATTGCAAGATTTGCAATTGCACCAGCTGCAACTCTATGAATGGTCTCATCCTCAGAACTACTAAGAAGCATTAATAAGGATGTAAGACCTCCGGCTTGTACAATCTTTTCTTGATTTGTTTCTGCAAATTAGACAAGAGTAAAGCATCATTCCCGAACAGAAATGTACTAAATTATAATACTTCTACAGAATCTATAGTACTTTTTATAGGTACAAAGAGGTTATAATACTATAGGGATGTGAAAAAACAAAACAAACAAATGTACTAAATCACCTTCAGCAGCTAGATTTGCAACAACTTTTACCGCATGAATTCGGACATCAGCATCTTCGGCTTCAAGCAATGACAAAATCTTGTGCAATCCCACTGTTGGAACACTGAATTTTATGAGGAACAAAACCAAGACAACAGACAGATGAATTATAGATAATGAGCAGAAAACTAACAGTAAAAAATAAATGGACGCATGTCCACCACCTTGTTCAAAGAGTTTTGCTATTGAGGCCTTGTCCCCATCTCCTGAATCTCTCAGCTGTGGATGCCTAACTTGAGAAATGAGAGAATCCAGATCACTGGGAACTTTCCCGGCTCCAACATCAAGGCTTCTTCTTGTCTAACAAAGACACATGTTTTGATATTCAAATTGGTTGTCACAGCAATACACATGCATGCCAAAAATCCATGTGTTTATGCGTGGGAAATGCCAGAAATACAGCCCCCTTTAGGGACTGTTCATGTACCAAGACTCCTAATGGCTGAATGGAAAACTTGTGAACTCTCAAACATCCAAATTCACTAGTTAACAGGACTAAGAATTGAAATCATTGTTCTTCATGCAACAAATTTAGGATACTTTCTGTTCGCATCCACGTGGTATTACAAATACAACCTCCCATTAACTTTATGTAATCTAAACAAAAATAGATATACCTTTCTGACAGTGAGTGAGACTAGAAAGACAAATAATCATGGGGTGTGAACAGCAAGTATCCTAACTCTACAGTTTATAATTGTCCTTTTTTCCTCAAAGGTTGTCTCACTAATGACAAGGAAGATAGATCCATTTGCATTCAAGGCCAAGTGAACAACAGTCACCAAAAGCCTCTGGATTTTTAAATTTTCTACATAATGGTTTGAGAACACCAGCATATGACCAAATGTTCAATTTTGGCCAATGACTAGAATTAACATATATATTTAAGAAAGGCATTTCAGTCCAAAAGTAATATTAGTTCCCCATTTATAGGTATAAAATGATGAGTAAATTTTTTGTACAAAATTAACTGGGAGGAAAATAATATTCTGATACAAGACAGGACAAGCAGATAAGGCTAATTCCTACAGAAGTTGGCCATTTTCTGAATAATTGATGCTACTGACCACAATGGTATTTATTAGTGTCCTTGGCCATTTTATACATCTAGAAATTGATTTCATACAAACAGGAGAATTAGTTACTTTGGAAGGTTGGGAATAAAATATTTGAGAATCCAGGAAAAGACTCACTTTCTCTCTCTCTCTCAAAAGCTATTCAAGTGGAAATATCACTCATAGATCCTTTTTCTACTAACAATATCAGAAACCATATAAACATATTTATGAACTGTATGGCGTACCTCATCAGCTTCAAAACTTAATTGCAATAGTTGACTTTGTAGTACAGCTATTTCTTCTTCAAGTTTACGTTTCTGATGCACCTCATCTTCCAGCAACTTGTGAAGCTTTGAGATCTCAGAATTCCCTGCTGCCTAGTTGACCAGCAAAGTGACAGCAAGAAGGATTAGAAGAGAGGAGGAGAGAAGATAAAATAAAGGGAGAAGATAAGAAATGGGGAACACATTCCCAATTCAATATCAGTTCTTCAATATTCAATCAATGCCCAAAACTGATAGTTCATTACACCAAAGCCATATATATAGGCAAACCAAATTGATAAATTCCAATGAAGAAACAAGTTTAAACTAAGAAATAAAATCCCACACAAATTCAACTTCATTAATAAATTAAACTCACAAACAAACTAAAATTCTAATCTTCCATATTTTTTCAACTGACTCCTTGACTCCATCACTAGTAATCCAACAGGATTGGTTAGTTATATTGATTGACAACCATGCTACAAAAGATGGGGAAAAAAAAAAGGAAACAAATGATGCTGAAATGAGACATTCATGGAAGCATAAAAAACATACCTCTGACCTTTTCCATTGCAGTAGTTGATTCCTAAGATTATTGACTTCCTCTTCTGCAGACTTCCTTAAAAGTTTCTCATCTCGAAGCAACTTTTTAACCCCAGCAACTTCCTCAACAGAGGACACTGCAGGAATCTGTGTATCACAAAAGAAAACACTAGGTGGTCATTGCCAAGGGAATTGTAGTATAAGTTAACCATTGGTTTAATCCATTGGAGTTGGAGGCATGACCCAGGTGTCAACCTTGACCAGCCAAATGTAAGCATGTGACCTTTGGAGGCCCATATAGAAGTGGATAGAACAATAATAAGAATATAATGTTACACAGTTGTATAAATGTCACAACCTGATGGAAAAGTTATACAAATAAATCGTCTTAACAAAGAAAACAAGTCTTCTCATATTTCAGAAAGTTGACGTTCCTTTTGATAAAATATAGTTGAAAAATCATGAAGCTGAAAATTTAAAGCTAGAATATCTGGAAACTTTAGGAAAGTTGGGCGGAACAAATAAGGCAGTCTAACAAAATAGATAGGGCCCAAGAGAAATTTTCCTACGAAATTGCAAATTAAAAACATGGTGTTCATTGGCAAAGTAAAGGGTTTCTTTCTTGAGGTCAACTATTATAAAAGTAGAAATTCTCTAGACCATGATGCCATTCTAGATGAGAGTCTATATCCATAATATTTATTCACTTGAATAACATCTCTTTAGTAACGACGAAGGGAGATATTTTAAAAGGACGAGGCGCACTACTAAGATGAGTCCATTGGAGACAATTAACTGTCAAAAGGAAAATTTTAAAACATTTTGCACATTAGGATTACATGTAAAAAGGAATAGCTATTATGCACAGAAGTGATGAACCAGAAAGAAAACATAAGATATGTTTAGTACCAACACCACAAACCAAAATACTTGTATAATGATGGAACTCGATACCTCTTCCCTCGATGTCTTGATGAGGCCACCATCTTTTACTTCAATTCTGGTTTTTCCACCACCATGCTTTTGTTGCTCTTTTGACCATTGCTCCTCGAGCTTCTTCAATGACTCCTTATATTCTTTCTGATATTTCAATTTTTCATTCTACAAAATGAACAACATCAAGCAAGTATGATAACCATTAAGTCACCAAATCTTGTTCAAGCAATAATAGAATATGGGGCAATCAACAATTTTTTTTTTTCTTTCCCTTTCTTCCTCCAGTTGGAACAAAAATCCAACTTCAAACCACAAACTTCAGAAAATGTTGGCAATAAAAATTTGCTTTCCTCCAAATTATTGAATCATGAAGAAGCAAAGGGCAACAGCAGATTGTACATACATGTGTATAAATGCATCTAAATATGAAGAAATAAACACTTTTCTGGAAAAATCAAAAGATTGCAGCATTAACAGTAAGCCAATGACAAGGCTGATTTATAACTACAGCAAAAAGCATATGACATTTGTAAGATCAATGCTCACATTACAGACAAATGGAAATGGATGCACTTACCTCCAAAGCATCAGCATAGTTTCTTTCAGCCTCAGAGATACGTTTCTGTGCTTCTATAGTTATTCTTTCAATCTCATCCTGGAATGCTTTTTGCTGCCTCTCATTCTCTACAATGAGTTTGTCCAACTGTATGTCAAGCCTTCTAGACAAACTCTTGTAATCAAACTCTTCCTTGATCTTCAACATATTCTCCACCTTCATAGCCTATGAAAGGTAAAGTTTTAGCATCTCCCAATGATCAAATCAATCAACCAATAGATTATTGTATGATATGTCAGCAAATACCCCATGACTATTCACTAAAATTGTAATTAGCTCAGCTAAATTACAATGATAACAACAGCTAAATTACGGAGAAGGAATGCCCATGGCAACTAGATGAGTCCATGCAATCAACTTAACAAAATTAAAGAGAAGAAAATGATGTCAAACATACCCTTTGCCCAAACATTATGGTACTCGCTGTCTCTCCTCGATGGCGTGGAGAGGGACCAACAGTAACAACCAGCGAAGTCCTTGCAGTGCCTGTAATGATGTACACAATCAGGGTACTTATTGCAATAATTAAAACTACCAGAAGTTGATTCAATAAATACATTCCAGCTTGTGTCCATAACAAATAAATATAAAACTAAGCAACAATATAATTGAAAAGGCCACCAGTGACAGTTGTCTGCCAGCTGAAACAGTATCCTGAGCCTGAAACACATAGAACCTAGCAAATTGGTTGAATAGCTATAGTGGCAACATTTGAACAGGTTCAACCAATTTACAGACCTTATCTGATAAGTGAATTTGTAGAAACTTGACATGATAACAGACTTGGAACCAATGGCCATAAATTATAATCCAACATTCCTTCAAGGGCACTTCACTTTGAAGACAACGTACAATTAAAGCCCAAAACATCAAACTTTTCTGTCAACCGAAAAGGACCATTCACAGATGGGTCCAAATCAACTTCTAAGCCATATTATGATAAGCTTGAGAAGGCCGAGGTAGTCATATACTTGACGTTTTCACCATATATTATTCAATGTGCATACATTCAAATGAAGCAATCATGTCATAGACATACACCGAAAAATTCAAAAGAAACCAAACTAAATACTGTAAGAACGAGCAATTCACCTCCAAATGAATCTCTAAGCAATCTAGTAAGCTTTGAATCGCGCACTGGAACATGTGCACTATTCTCTGCCAGCGCATTAATACATTTCCCTAGTGCACTCAATGAAAGATTAATAGACTTGGCTTCCTCTAAAGTATGTCCCTCACTTCCTGTGGAATGACATACAAATAAACGAACTTTAACATGCAGTAGAGAGCATAGGCTAGGAAAGTAACAAAGACACCAAAAGGTAACAAAAATAATAAATTATAGAAGCTTTTTTTCAAAACAAAAGAACTTATGTATTACCTCTCTGCTAAAGGAGAAGACAAAAAACAACTACAAAGTTATCAATATCCCAGAAACATCTTACCTAGGAAGTGTCCAACCTAAAGCATTCAATCTTTGATGAGTTTCTATTATCTTTACACAGATTTTTAGTGGCACACATGCGGTCACATAGTATGCAAGCAAGAGTCCACATATACAACAGACAGTATGGCATATCACACAATGGCCACTCCGAACATTTTTTTACAGTCAAAACATTTTTAACACTAAAGTTCCACCCAACAATTTTATATACCATTTTATACACACTACAATTTTGGTATGATAATTGAGTTGATTTTGAATTTGTCAATTCATGCCCTCTAGCAGACGGTCATGTTCAGCAAGGAGGGGGTTCACCCAAGGGAAAGGGTGGAAGGAACTTTGGCTTGGCCCCTCCTGTTAGAAATTCATCTCTTCCTAACCAAGATCGGTGAGACACAAAATAGCAAATAAGAAAGATAAATGAATCAAAGAAAACAAACACACACAAAGAACACAATGATTTATGTGGTTCACCCCTTAGTAGAGAAAAAACATTTAATTCATATCTATAATTTGTGAGAGATACCTGACTTATCAATTCTCTCTGACCCTGCAAGATCTACCACAACTAGCTTTGCTTTCCGAACAATCGGAGGCTTTAAAGTTTTGAGCCCGTTAGACGTGTTACCATTTTCACTTGAAAGAGCAGAATCTTTCCCCTTGACAGACCTCTTAACATGTACCTGCAGCAAAAGAATTCATGATGTATAGAATTACATGCAACAGTTCAAAGGACTGCCAACTAATTCCCAGAAATTTCAAATCCACAACCATCAGAAGACAATAAAAGCAATAAATTTACCATTAGAATGGCATGACTGCGAGAAGATTCTGTGTTCAATTTTGTGTTAGCAGCAAAGCGGTGAGCTTCACCTAATCGTAGAAGTTCTACAAAACTCTGTTGGCCCCTGATTTCTACAAGGGTAGCCCCAGGTACCGAAACATCTCCTGTTTTGGGGTCTTCCATGATGGATATGTTATCATTAGCAGGATTAAGGAGGTCCTGTATAGTCTCCATATAAAGCTGCAAGTATTTGTAAAGAAAACAAATGCTAAATCACAAAGTTAGAAAAAGACTTTGACAAAATGTCACGAATCCTTCATGAAGTTTAACAATATGGAATTTATTGAAAAGTGAAAATCTATAAAAGAGTTGTACATGTACCACAAATAATAACAACAATACTCAGACATAAGTTAAGATCTGGTAAAGGCTAACAACCTGCAAATAGGAAACAGAGACAAAATCAGTCTCCGGGGAAATTTCTGCTAAAATATCCTCCATTGCACGCACCATTATCCCACGATCCGCTGTGTCTTCTTCTCCAAGTCGCCCCAGTGTATAAGTTTTTCCAGTTCCAGTCTGACCATATGCCATGACCGTCCCATTGTAACCATCCAGAACACTCTGTGGAAGCAAATGACAAGTAAACATTGACATCTAACCATTCAGATCTTTAAAATTATTGTACTTCCAAAGGAGGAGTTTTATGACATAAATTGACCTCTAACACAGCATGTGAAATGGTTCACTATTATATCTACTGGAGCAGTACCATTGACATCTCAGACATGATCATATTTTTAGAATATCAGATAACAACTTGTGAAGGAATAATTATCCATACACAAGTCATGTCTTTAAAAATCTCAATAAAGATATGGAAACGGGTACAAAAATTTATCACAAGCATCAAAAATTGATTCATACGCACTTCAACGACAGGCTTTGCCACTACTTCATATACACGCTTTTGTGAAGCAAATTCAGTAAGCACTTCATCAAACTCATAGGTATCTGAATCCCAGTTGTTTCTCCGAAGTTTTAACCTTTTGAGCTGCAATGGAGCAAACAAGTGATGGCTTATTATACTATTGTGAGGCACCAAACATATAAGAAGTGTTTTCTTCTAATATTCTCAAGCAGACTCTGATATGAGGAAAATGATGTTAGGAATACCTCTGGCTGCAATTCTACACAATCAGCAAAATCAGCATCAGCCACCAACTCCTCTGCATTTCGCGGTCGTAATCTTACAACAACCCGAACTCTCCCAGAAACTATATAGACACATTGCAATGTGTGAGCTGTATATAGTTCAATGTTTACAAGGTGCAAATTATGATATAGAAAAGCATACCAGTAATCCCTCATTCTTAATTAAAAAATGTATGAAAATTTCACATTGTTCACTGCAATTACAGCATAGCCAGGTCCTTTTCTCTTAAAAAATTTAGAACTTCCTGTTTACTGATTAGATTGTAGGAATGTTTACATGAAAGATAATGAGCAAGTGAAAATCCCCCGAGATTACCAATCTGAAATTCCATTCTTCAGAGACATTTCTCACATGCAGAATAAAATTGAAACTACAATATAAGACAATAAAAAAGTACTATTATCATTATTTTTTCTTTTTTCTGGACACCATGTAGAAAAATAATAATAACTATGTTATAATTTGTGAAAGACTTCCCTATTTCTGACCCAGAAAGGTATTTAGCAAGTCAGTTGATGTTATTTGTTTGAAGTTGAAAAGATTTTTCATCAGACATGTCACCTGAGATCTGGCATGTGTGAAATACGGGGCTGATGTGTCAAGCGCATGCCACCATCCATGTTTACACAACAGCGACCATCAGGACTGATCAAACACTCTTACGTGATAAATGGGTTTGAAAAAATTGGTAGAATAATTCAAGATGCTTCCCTAGAAAATCAATTACAGCAAATTCACATCCTTGAGAATCCTTGTCCTTCAAAGTAAATGCTAATCAGGAACCAATAATACAGGTCCTTGTGCATTAAAATTTGGGGTACTTATATGTAGGTCCTAATAAGCAGACTTATCTATGGGAAAATTTTGTGATAAAAAACACGTCACTAATTGTAAGCTTTAGCGACAATTTATAACAATCATGACAAAAAAAAGTCACTAATTATCAATTTTTAGTGACGTATGCAAAAAATTGTCACAAGAAAATTATTTTTAATGACAATTTTACCAAGATTTATTTTCAATAGGACTTGATGGGAATTAAGTTTAACTATTAGAACCTATTGGTAGTTTACCCTTAAAAATTTTAGGTAACTCAAGGCCAGCACCACTCTTCAGCTACAGAAGTGGTTTTGCAGCTTATTCTCTCTAACTTACAAGTTTACAAGCAAAGGGGAAAAAATTCAGAGGCCTATTTGGTAGCATTTTTATTTACATTTTTGGCCTTAATCGTTTAAGCTTTACCAAAACGGGTATGATGAACATAAAAGTAAAATGTTTTTCACCAAATAAAATGCTTAAAAACATGACGAAAAGCCCTAAAATCGAGCAAAAAAGAACAGGTCCTGATCATGGTTACAAAATTATGTTCCAATTGACATGTTCTTGGTTCCTATATTCCACCTTATGCCATATCTTACAACAACTGATAAAAATTTTCAATGGGATTGATATGATTTATATGAAGTACATACAATTCACAAACCCAGCACAATAGACCAAATTTATCATCTAAACCAGCATTTGGACCAGCTCAAAATGCACAAAACAAACAAAGAAGCAAGAACCAACTCTAAAATGCTCAGCAGATAATCCAAGCTCATCAAAGGGATTAACTTTCAAAAGATCATCCATTTACCAAGAAAAATGGTTACAATAACATCAAAGAAACTAACGTTATGATGTATCTACAACTCTACAGGCAAATTTAAAAGCCTATTCAACACATTCCATCACAATTATACACAAACCAACGCAATCAATCGAGAGAGAGAGAGAGACCTCCAGCATCGTCCTTGCCGGAGCCAAGTGAACCGGTGCTGTTGCGGCGGGGACCGGAAGCGGTGGACGAGGGCTTGGATTTGAAAGAAGACGAAGAAGACTTGGGATTTGAGTTATTATACACAAACCAACGCAATCAATCGAGAGAGAGAGAGAGAGACCTCCAGAATCGTCCTTGCCGGAGCCAAGTGAACCGGTGCTGTTGCGGCGGGGACCGGAAGCGGTGGACGAGGGCTTGGATTTGAAAGAAGACGAAGAAGACTTGGGATTTGAGTTCAATGAGAGAGGCCGATTTTGAATGCCATTTCTATAAGCTCCATTATTAGCCATTACCACATTTCAAAACCGAGCTTCAAAAGCTCGAATAACCAGAGAGCTTCGAAGCAAAACTTTGAACACACTCCAGCGATCGAGAAATGAGAACTTGAATTGAAGTTACAGAGGAACAGAGTGGGGTCAATCGTGAGGAAGTGTGAGAGAAATACGGATTCTAGAGAGAGAGGATAGTAGTGCGGGCTCTTTGGAGATGGCCAGGGGACTCCGGTCACGCCATCGTGGGGTCATGCATTTTTTATCTTTTGCATTGAATTTATTTTTTTGGTACTTTTTCTTCTTTTTTTTTTGTTACTTCTTTTGCATTGAATTTATGTTATTGCCCTTTCTGTTCTCAAATACTGTCAATTTTTTTTTTTTTTATAAATAAATTGGGTGGAGAGGGAAAATCCAACAACTCCTGTCACAAAATTTAGGCTTGTTTGGCAAGTTAATAAAAAGTTAATTTTTGACTTTTTTAATTAAATCGTTTGGGAAGTAGGTTGGTTTTTTGACTTTTTGGCTTTTTTGACTATATGAGGCTGGGCTCAAAAGCTTAGTTTGGGAAGGGCTTTTGGCTTTTTTGATTTTTTTGTGAGAAAAGAGTGTAATGATTATGGGGTTGGATGGGATGTTTTGTCTGTTGTGGCTCATGAGCCTATTCTGTTTCAATTATTTTATCTCTTCTCTCTTATTTTGTCGAGGAATGATATATTTTCTTAATTTTAAGATTTTAATTGAGCTCTAATAATGTGATAGGAAATAAAAAAATAAATAAAGTCAAAATATCTGTTGGCTATATAATTTGTAAAAGCTAATCACAATTCAACACGTGGCATGAAGAAGGCAATTTGGGGAGTTAATACTAGTTGCTAACCATAGTCAGACACGTATCAGCCCATATTGATAATAATAATGGATCTGTGTAGCACTAGAACAATTGAGAGTTCATATTCAAAATTAAGAGGGAAGCCTAACTGCAAACGTGGCGTAGTGGGAGGACATTTTCACGGTTAGAAGCTCACTTCGACGGGTATCATTGAGAAGTATAAATAGCAGAAAAGGTCTCAGAATGAAAAATCCATACTCAAATCAAAAAACCAACTTTATTTATTTTGTTTTCCCTTTCAGTTTTTACTGTTTTTTTACATTTTTATACTTCAAATTCTTGTATTGCACTTCATTCATAAGAGTAGTTTCAAATAGCTTGTTACTGTAAACCCCTACGAGGTCGGGTCAGATCATTGTAAGTTTTTCATTTTTACTTAATGAAATTCTGAAATTATTCTTCACTTAATTGTTTGTTACTAAATTTTCCTCAACAAGCCACCAATAAAAGTCTTTTTCATTGAGGCTGAGAGAACTAAAACACAATCGTTTGATAATTGGTTGGCAATTAATCTTCTGTAAGGACTGATTGATTTTTACTGGCATGCTTAAAATTACAAAATTAACCTTTGAAAGCCAAAAAAATCAACAATATCACATCGCAATGAAACTTACTCTCATTAGAGTTCATTAAAACTCCTTTATTAGATCTCCTACTCATTTTTGTATTTTGGCACGCCTCCTCTTTCCTTGACACAATGTCACATGTCATTCCTACAATCCGTCCCTTATTGCCACCATTGCAACCTAATCCTTCCTCTTCCTCCATCCCAGTCTCCTCTCTCCGTAATAATAACTGTAGATATAAAAAGATAGAGTGCGGTAGGGAAACGATATAAAGAAATAGAAAATCAAAAAATTAGAAGTTATTAGCTCATTCTTATATTTTTGTATAATTTAACTTATATATGGCTGCTAGTCAATGTTGAACCATAAAATAAGACGTTTAATATTGTGACTTATTTGGTGTAATTTTTTACAAGTTGAAAGTCAATTATCGTAAAATAAAAGTTAAAAATACATTTTTCCTTACTTTTTCATAATCAATTTTTTTTGTTTTATTTTGACTTATTTGAGTTTCACAACATGAAGGAAGAATTTGTACTCATCAACCAATAAAAAATTACAAATGAATTAGATGAAAAAGTTATCAACTCTACAATGTTGTGGTCTTATTATTTATTGAATGGTAATATCATCCTATAATATCGATATTTACTCCATCTTTTGGCATTATGTAACCAGCTCAGCTTAGAGGCAGAGATTTGGGCTATTTACCGAGGCCTAACTATACTCTTCCAAAAAGGAACTAGAGATGTACAAATTGAATCTGACTCTGCACAGGCAATCAACCAAATTCTGCATGGTCTAGCTCATAATTCCCCATATAAAGCCCTCATCGAAGATGCCAAGTTCCTACTAAGAAGAAGTAACAGCTCTCTCCAGCACACCCTGCGTGAGAGAAACAGAGTTGCTGACCTCCTAGCCAACTTGGGAGTGGTTCAAAATGAACATGTTGTTTTTCTTGACAACCCTCCCGCTGAAATTACTATTTTCCTTATTGAAGACATGACTGGAACTAGTTTTGAGAGGGACTAACCCTCTGTTTGCTGTATCTTAGCTCATTAACTCTTGTTCTTTGCTTTCTTACGAATCTGGAAAAAAAAAAAGTTGAGGGAACAGATGGCATACATTAAATGGACAAAGAGGGGCTTCTTTTTTGCTGGTGACAAAGAGAGACATCAATAAATAAATAAATACACAGAAGTGTGTGTCGACAAAATGAACAGCTGAACTAAATAGGGTATTGTGGACCGACCATAATAGCCTAAGGAATTGATTGATACATACCCATTATTTTCGCCTGAACAAAGTATTAACCATTGACACATGCTTAGGTGAGAAATTTATGAGAAAAAGTGAAAAAAAATTACTGATAATTCATAACCAGTTGTGCTATTAGGTTATGTTTGAATTAATGATTTGAAGAGGTATTTGTGGAGTTTCATTTCTTTTACAAGTCTATTAAAATTTTTTATCCAAACCTAGTCTTTGAAACTTTACAATTCACGGTTACAATTAATATTGGGTAAATTACACTGACACTCCCTTATTTGTGGAGTTCCATTTCTTTCCCAAGTCTCTACTAAATTTTTTTATCCAAACATAGCCTTTGAAACTTTACAATTCATAGTTACAATTAATATAGGGTAAATTACACTGACACTCCCTCAAATTTTTGTTTAATATAAGTTTCCCTTTCATATTTGAAAAATTACTCTTACCTCCTGGTCAGATTAAATGACATATTTGTTCCTTAGCTTGTATATATATAAAATAATAAAATAATACAAATATTTTGTTCATGTCATTTTAAGGGAAATAATAACCATCTTCTTTGATTTAATTCACACAAAAAAATAAATTTTTTTATTTTTGGTATTTTTTTTACTAAATTTTTTAATATTTTAAGCAATTTTTTTTATTTTTTAGCTATGCATAATCTCGATATATGTAAGAAGTATAATATTTTGTGATATAATGATGGAAATAGAAATGAAAAATTATATTCATATATAAAAATTTATACAAAAAATATCATAAAAATGTTATAATAGTGATATTTTTGTAAATATAAATCGTTTTTATGAGTATTTTATTCTAAAGTGAAAGGTCACTATTAAGTTATATTATTGTGTTTGAAAATTACATATATGTTTGTATATTATCACTCAATAAGAATATGTTTAGATATAATTTAATGATAAAAAGTTGTAGAATATAATTAGGGATGGCAATAAGGGACAATGGGACAGATATTAATTTTTCATCCCCACTCCTATTACAATTTTTTCCCATTCTCCATTTCCAATCCCCTATTGGGGACTATCCTACTCATCTCTTAATGGGTTTGGATTTTTCCCAACCCAATTATTTTTATTATTATTTTTGTTTTTATTTTTATTTTTTAAAGTAATTGTTGCTAATATAAACAGATTAATTGAAATATAAACAGATTATTTCTTCTAATTTTTTTACAACCATCAAAAACAATTAACAATATAAACAATATACAAATTTCAATTGCATCATCATCATCTTCCATATCCGCATCATCATTCTTATCCAAACCCTCTATTCGCTCTCATTCGTCCTCCACAACACCACTCTGTTCAACGTTCTCAACATTCACATGATCTGCAATTACAGCTTCAACATTCGTCGCCCCTCCTTCGAATCCACCACCGTTCCCTCAACCTCCATTGAATTTGTGATAATTTCTTCGTTGATTTTCTGTGCAGCGGCCTCTTCGTCTTCTTCTTCAACCTTCGGTTCAGATGATGATTCAGTTTCTTGTTGGGTTTCCAATTCTTGATCTTTGTTTTTCCAATTCCAACACAACTATGTTGTTCTGATTGTCGAGACTCAATTTGATGTCTGCTTGTTTCGATTTCGGTGTCGATTTACTTGCCCTCGCCGACGTCAATTTCTTGCGAGGCGGCATTCTCTTTCTCTCTCTCTCTGGACTCTGTTTTCTCTTTCTACAAAGGATATGTCTATTGAGCTTAGTTCGGGAAGTTTTTTTTAGATATGCACAGGTCTTTTTCTGCGTTCACACTGCTTTTTAAAAAAGAATAATGCTTGGGACTCCCTTTTGGGGGTCACCCCCTTACCCCTTTGTCACGTGGCGGGTGGTGATTGGAGGAGCAGGAAAAAAAAGAAAAAGAAAAAGAAAATGTAACCAATGAGAGAGAGAGGGGGTCAAAGGGGGTGGAGGAAAAAGGGAGGATGAATCATTGTTGTTTCAAAAATGCCTAAGACCCCAGTGGGGTCACTGGGGGTCATGAATGGAGCCTTTCCATTGGTCAAAAAAAAAATTATTATTATTATTTTTTTTTTTTGTGATTTGGACGAATGGCACGCTGCCACCTCACTGGGGGTCGACCCCTAGTGGGGTCTGTAGCAAAGTCCCTGTTTTTTTTGGGGCAATTGAGCGATGAGGAGGAGGAGAAGAATGCTGGAGATAGAGATGTCATCATTGTTCTAATTTATTTTTTTTTTGGAGGGGGGTTGGTAAGTAAATTTTTTAACTGGGTCTAGAAGTGAAAATTGTTTGTGTATGTAATGAATCAAGTGTATCATATTTTAGTTCGTGATTTTTGTTTGGTGAAATATGATCTATCAAACAAAAATTAGGGTAGTCAAAACACATGGAGAAATGGGTGGGTATCTATCTGCGATCCATTCCCGATGAATATTTAAATTTTACCACCTATCCAACTCGACGGGTATGAAAAATGGAGAAAATTTATATATTTCGGATTAAGTCTCCATAGATACCTATTGGATAGGGCATCGA